TGTTCCATGTAACTACTACTAAATTAGAAAAGACAAAAAATAAGCTCCAATTAATCCTTTCCTCCTCTTTGTGAACTGATTAATTTCATGTTGGACTCAGAATTATGATTGAGGATTTTTGAATAGTGACTTCACTATACTGACTAATTTCATGCTGCCGAATAAGACTTATGATTGAAGATTTTTACTATAGCAGCTACCCTACACCACATTACCAATTCAAATACAGTCAGATTACGGTTAAATTCTAAGAACATATCCTTCTATAAGGATACAATTTAGTTTTTGGATTTTAAAATCTTGTTTAAAAATAGGTTAAAACAAGTTGACTTTTTTCCAGGATTGGAATCCTGGCAACCTCAACACTTCCTGACATCTAGAGCCCCCTCAGTTGGTCAAGTAAAAACAAATTTTACCATAGGAAATTATGTATGACACAGATCATGACAAGTTCCACAAGTATTGAAATAAATGCATGTCTGTAGTTGAATATTATACTCTAAAGGAAATAAATCAAGTAATTGTACCTGTCCATAAAGTCCCCAACCAAAAGTAAGAATCGCTCCTGTATCTGCATAATGTAAATATATTAGCTGCATTAAGAAGATGAAGATCTAGAGGAAATATAGTATCAGAACGAGAGAAAATAAGTGCAAATTAATTAGTAATTGAAGCATGCACAACTTGTATAGAGAGATCAAATAACAGCAACAAAGGATTCATGAAAGATGATTTAGTTTTAAGGTTTAGTATTCGACTGGATTGTCAATCAGTGTGGATGCATCAGACAAGTGTATATTCATGGCATGGTGCAATTTCACAAATCAAAATATTAGCTGTAGGAAAATAGATTGTGAACTTAACATCTGCAGACCGACATATACTGTTCATTATTAAAGATGAAGGACCTAAGAAAAATAAGCAAAATCCACAGAAATTACGCCACGTGTATTTCTTACCCTCTTTTCTTTTCCTGAGGGCCAAGTTAAGTTTTTCATTGGTGTTTCCCTCAGAATTTGTACTAGGTTACTAGTTTTATAAAATTAGTCAGTTTGGTTATTTTCTTAAAAAACAATTGTTAGCTCTCAGCATTTTTTGCTATTTATACATCTAAACCCTATCAACCAATGCCTCTTTGGATCTTCAATGCACACAGCTTGCAGACATTATATATCCTCCAGTGTTCATAATACAAACTTTTGATGACCATTAGACGTTTTAGTCAAACTTCATTTCCTTGTGTTCAAGTGGTCGAAGGCAAATATTATATTTTTTTTACTTTATTTTATTTTATTTGGGAGTGGGGGAGTGGGGGTGGGCAGTATAGCCTATCTGGGCCCTTGGCAGAAACCTTTATCACCATAGAGCAACAAAACAGATCAAGCATTAAATGTTCTCATAGAGAACAAAATCCATCTTTTCCATGAATAAGATCAAAGGAATTAGTTGTTTTTTCTCCAGAAATGGTTATGTTTATTCTTTCCACTTACAACAAAGGAAAAGTCAATGCCGCTGTTACACTCTCTTTATCTTCTACAAGAGTAATCACACTAAAGACAACTCGGGTATGATAATAGATCTTCACTTCTAACATTGAGACTATATTAAGAAGTTATTAGTGCTCATAACATTAAGATATTATCACTCAACGCTATGCGATCATTTTGCAGCTAAAATTAGCGGAAGGTACACCCCTTTCTTGACATTGATCTAGCCACATTTTCCAATATATGAAAGGAAAATTGCTCCTAGATAATTACAAGATACTAACCTGTAATAACAGCACTATGGCGACCTCCACATGTGATAGCTTTCACACGACGCCCAATCACTGTAAAGATCTGTCCATCGGAATTTGCATTTGCTTTTGTAGGTGCTGCCGATTTGTCCTTACCATGCGCAGCTGACTCAACACAAGGTACAGGATGAGGAGATGAAACCATACGAACACGGGAACCCAGACCAAGTTGCCCTTCCCCTCCATAGCCCCAACCCCACACCTGACCTGCATCTGAAACCTTGGACATAATAGAAAGCATCAACATTTTCAGATCCTAACATGTACGTAGATCCTCAAGCCCCGAAACATGATTGAGAATTATCACACACAAGGAAACGATGATCATATTATGACTTATCACAGAAGTAGAATTACCTGACAAAGCGAGTGTATGCCTTCCTCCAGCTGCAACAGCGGTGATCCTTACTCCTGAATTGAGTGTCACCAAACATGGAGGTGCTGACAGAGCTTCATCACCAGAACTCGAGCTTTCGGGGACTTGTTTTGCTGATGATACTCTCCTACGCTTTATACTTTCCTCTCCAATTTTGCTGCTTTCTTGGCTAGATACTGTCCCGATACTTGTTCCTGAAGCATGTGATTTGGTGCCAGAAACATGTGATCTAGGGCTCACTGCAATTCAGTTGCCTTTCATTACATTCCTCAACAAGCAATTCAAAGCATTAAGTTTTCTATTTAGATTGAATATATTGAGATATCTGCTGACATCACCTTGGTCATTCAGCAAGCTACTCTGTTTTTCATCCTTTTCTGACGATTCCCCCATTGATTGGTCTCCAATAGACTTCCCAGATGGAACACATTCCTTCCAACCCCATGTGTAAACTTCTCCCTGAGCTGATATAAGAGGAAGAGGAACAAAAGACAATGGTTTGTTAATTTGAAAAAGATAAGAGCGATGTTTGTGCCAACAAGTTCACTTCAGATTTTAGCTCTAATTGAAGTAACTAAATTACGCATATAGTTCACAATCTAGTTTGTTTCACAGTAGCATTAGGTGCTAATACCTATATATTGAACTGTGGTAGATTAAATCCTTTTTAAGAACATATTAATATGATCCAATAACTGGTGATTCTACTGAGACGTTTCCTGCTAAAAAAACTTCACAGTATAGGTTATAATGGTCATTAGTTCTCCTGTAGAACTTCTGCTTTTGAAGCAATGTAATGCTTCTTCCTATAACCAAGCTTGGGAGAGAGCCTTATAGGAGGATGTCCTCCATAGTTTGCTCAAAACATTTCTATAAATTAGATGGATCACAACAAGTTCTAAACTGAAATGTGATTTATCAGAACAAAAGTAACTATTTAAATACCTGTTACTGCCACACAGTGAGCCCATCCTGCTGCTGCCCTCACGATTGTTGCTTCATTTGGCAAAGGAAATGCTTCTGGGATTTCCTGCATAGTGAATATGCAGACGTTTGGCACTTATATAAAAATGTTTGTAATAACTGGAATAAAAAATAGATGAAAAACAACAATGCAAGGACCACCTATCGGTACCTCGTGTTTTCCTGCCGCCACGTAACTCTGACCCATATCATCTGTTGAACCCCATGTATAAAGTTTGCCTGATTCTGATTGAAGAGAAAAATACAAAAGAACATTAATCATCGAACTAGCACTCTCTTATCAAACAGCTAACTGTTAGTCTAAGGGATGTAGACTCAAAGCTGGAATCAAACAAATTGTTGGATAGCAAGTTTTCTAATCTGTTTTGGTAACAATATTCTTAATCTGTTTTGGTAACAGGTTATTAGGATTCCTAATTTGTTTTATTTTTTGGTTTTAGAATTCCTGGTCTGTTTTGGTTTTAGGTTTTCTATATATATGGAACGCCTTAGAAGAGATTAGACATCAGAAAAGAGGGTTTTGAGATAATTCTTCAGAGAGATCTCAGAGAGATTAGATCCTATTTGTGGGCATTGTACTCTTCTTCGATATTAATCAAAGAATTGTGTGGTGTGATTCCCAAGGACGTAGGCACAATTGTCGAACCTCATTAAATCTGTTGTGCTCTTTTTTGTTTACTTTCCTGTACGTTTTTATATTTTATTTGTTGTGATTTTTTTTACTTTCCTACTCTCAAACACAAGGTCCGGAAGGACAAGAGTTCGTTTTGATTGTTTCGAATCCCCAACAACTGTATCAGAGCTTCGTTCAGAAGGATTGTAATTGTGAGAGTCATGACAGAAGAAAGCAAATCTAAGATCGAGAAGTTTGACGGTTCAGACTTCACCTACTGGAAGTCGCAGATGGAGGACTATCTTTACCAAAATGACTTGTATTGCCCGTTGATGGGCAAGACTAAGGGAAAGAAGAAAGAAGAGTCAAACGAGGATTGAGAGATATTAAATAGGAAGGCTTTAGGGTAAATCCGGTTGTCGCTCGCCAAAACAATCGCACACAACATATTAAAGGAGAATACGACAATGGGGCTTATGGAAGCGCTCACGAAATTGTATGAGAAACCGTCTACCGCAAACAAGGTGTATCTCGTCAAGACACTCTTTAATCTCAAGATGGCAGAATAACGTTCCTTCACAATGCACATCAGCAAGTTCAACACCATTGTTGATCAACTCATCTCCGTAGACATCACGTTCAATAACGAAGTGCAGGTCTTATTGATTCTATCGCAGTTACCGGATAGTTAGGTAGGTCGTATGACGACAATCAGCAATTCGACGGGGAAGGACAAGTTGAAACTAAGCGAGGTTGTTAGTATGATTCTATCTGAAGAGGTTAGAAGAAAATCGTCCGAATCAAAAGGTTCAGGTTCAGTCCTAAATTTCGAGCAAAGAGACAGAAACCAGAAGAAGAATTAGAACAGGAATCGGTCGAAGTCAAACTGGAAAGTAAGGCCTATCAAAGGGAAGTGTTGGAACTGCGGTCAGGAGGGCCATATGTCTTTAGTTTGTAAAGCACAAAAGAAGGATGCGAATAAACAGGAGTCATATCGTGCAGGATGCATTGATCCTAACTATGGACAGCGATTCTGATTCCTGGGTGATCGACTCAGGAGCCTCATTCCACGTCATTGCTAATAGGAAGCTTATTCATAACTATATAGCAGGGGATTTTGGGAAAGTATACTTAGGGGATAATGAACCTTGTAGTATTGTTGGAAGAGAAGATATGCAAATACAGTTGAAGGACTCCAAGTAGAACCTGAAGAACGTGAGGCACGTATCGAAGCTGAAGAGAAATCTTATTTCGGTTGGCCAGCTTGAAGCAGAAGGCTATGTTTCGACATTAATCGGGGATTCGTGGAGGATCTCAAACAATACTATGATTGTTATCCGAGGTAACAAAACGAAAACTCTCTACCTCACCTCACATGCGAGTGACACCCTCGCAATTATAACTAGCAAAGAGAGTACAGATCTGTGACATAATAGATTGGGATATATGAGCGAGAAGGGGATGAAGATTTTATATTCACAAGGAAAGCTAACCGGCATCGATTCCGTAAAAGTCGGTGTTTGTAAGGACTGCATCTTTGGAAAGCAAAAGAGAGTTAGTTTTCAGAACGGTGGAAGACCACCTAAAACTCAGAAGCTAGAGTTGGTTTATACTGACGTATGGGGTCCAGTTAGCGTGTCTTCTATTAGCGGTTCGGCGTACTATATCACCTTCATCGATAATCACTTAAGGAATGTGTGGGTATACTTCATGAATCACAAGTCAGAGGTGTTCGGGATCTTCAAGAAGTAAAAGTCCATGGTGAAGAACGAGACAAATCTAAAGGTGAAGTGTCTGAGATCAGACAACGATGAAGAATACGAGCTGGAGGAGTTCAAGAGGTTCTGTGCTCTAAATGGGATTCGTTTGAAGAGGACTACTCCAAGGACGTCGTAACAAAATGGCGTTTTAGAGAGGATTAACAGGATATTCACGGAACATGCCAGGAGCATGCGATTACATGCAGATTTGCCTAAGATATTTTGGACGGATGCGATGCATACGACAGCTTACTTGATTAATCATGGGTTATCAGTTCCATTGGATTACGGGATTCCAGAGGAGGTTCGGAGTGGCAAGAAGATCAACCTCTCACATTTATGAGTATTCGGTTGTGTGACATATATTCATATCAGTGACCATGTCAGGGACAAGCTAGAGACTAAGTCACAGAAGTGCACATTCATTGAATACAACATTGATAAGTTCGGATATCGTCTTTGGGATGAGAAGAACAGGAAGATCATCAGAAACAGGGATGTGATATTCAATGAGGAGGTGATGTACAAAAATAGGGATAGTACCGATGATAGCCAAAGCAGTGGGAGCAACACTACTGATACAGGTGGATCCGAGTACATGGATTTGGAAGAACTTCCAGATGGGGACGACAAAGTCAATTCTGATCGAAGAACGATGAAGATTCCAGGTGCAGAGACGACTACCCAGGACGTGGAGATTAGGAGGTCATTTAGGGTACCCAAACCGAATCTCAGATATCTCTTATCACTTGATTATTTGCTTTTGACAGATAGTGGAGAATCGAAGTGCTATGAGAATGCTATGCAAGTGAGTGAATCTCGACGGTGGGAGCATGCGATGCAAGAGGAGATGGATTCTCTACACACTAATGAGACATAGAAGTTAGTCCAGCTACCTGCACAGAAGAAAGTCTTGCATAACAAATGGGTCTATCGAGTCAAGCAAGAGAGTGATGAAAGCAAGAAATACAATGTCAGATTAGTCGTGAAGGGATTCCAACAAGGGGAAGGAGCGGACTATACGAAGATATTCTTCCGTTGTGAAGCTCACAACCATCAGAGTGGTGTTGACCTTAGTAGCTGCAGAAGATCTCTACATTCAGCAATTAGATATAAAAATTATATTTCTTCATGGTGACTTAGATGAAGAAATCTATATAAAGTAACATGTTGGTTTCATTGAAAAAGGAAAGAAAGAGATGGTGTGTAAGCTCAAGAAGAGCTTGTACGGATTAAAACATGCTTCGTGACAGTGGTATAAGAAGTTCGACAACTTCATGCAGAACAATGACTATAGGAGATGCAATTCAGATCATTATTGCTACTTCAAGAGATTCGAGTCCAGTTTTATCGTGTTATTATTGTATGTTGATGACATGTTAGTTACAGGATCATATTTAGAAGAGATAAATAGATTGAAGAAGCAGTTGGCAAACAAATTTGTTATGAAAGATCTGGATGCAGCGAAGCAGATTTTTGGGATGCGAATCAATAGAGATGAAGCTAAAAGGACGTTGAGGTTGAGTCAAGCTGAATACATCGAGAAGATACTTCAAAGAATCAGCATGCAGAATGCAAAGCCTATCAACACGTCCCTTGGAAGTCAGTTCAAGTTATCTGAGGAGTAATCACCCAAGATAGATGCAGAGAGGAAGCATATGAGTAGAGTACCATATTCGTCGGTCATTAGGAGTCTCATGTACGCGATGGTTTGTACGAGGTCGGATATCGCCCATGCAGTGAGAGTTGTGAGCAGGTTTGCAAGTAATCCAGGGAAGCAACATTAGGAGACTGTGAAGTAGATATTACGCTACTTGAGAGGGACTACGGATAAGTCACTATGTTTCAGGATGAAAGAGTTAGTATTACAGGGATACGTGGATGCGGACTTCGCCGGTGACCATGATACGAGATGGAGCACCACAGGGTATGTTTATACATTAGCGTCGACAGCCACGTCTGCAGAAGATTGTAACTTTGTATACAACTAAAGTTGAATATGTCATGGTGACTGAAACAAGCAAGAAAATGATTTGGTTGAACGGATGCCTGAAAGAGTTGGATCTGAAACAAGGGCGAGGAGTTTTTTATTATGACAGCCAGAACGCTATACATCTTGCCAAGAATCTAATATATCATGCCAGAATAAAACACATCGACGTACGATACCATTTTATATGCTCGTTGATTGAGGATGGAAAGTTACATCTAGAGAAGATTTTAGGGAGTCAAAATCCAACGGATATATTGATGAAAGCAGTGACCATTGACAAACTGGAAATGTGTGTAACTTCAGTTGGCCTTCATGTGTAGGAGAGGAAGGCGAAGCCACACCAGGAGGATCGTCGGGATCACCGGGTTGATGATTATTGAAGAATGAATTTTTTCCATGTAAGAGGATGTTTGCGAAGAAGGGAGAGTTCGGGTGAGCTCGTTGATTGTGCTTCGATCTCCAAGTGGGTGATTGTTAGTCTAAGAAATGTAGACCCAAAGCTGAAATCAAACAAATTATTGGATAGCAAGTTTCATAATCTGTTTTGGTAACAAGATTATTAATCTGTTTTGATAACATGATTCTTAATCTGTTTTGGTAATAAGTTATTAGGATTTTTAATCTGTTTTTTTTTTTTAATTCCTAGTTTGTTTTGGTTTTAGGTTTTCTATATATATGGAACGTCTTAGAAGAAATTAGACATCAGAAAAGAGGGTTTTGAGAGAATTCTTCAGAGAGATCTCAGAGAAATTAGATTCTATTTGTGGGCGGCATTGTAATCTTTTTCAATATTAATCAAAGAATTGTGTGGTGTGGCTCCCGAGGACGTAAGCACGATTGTCGAACAACATTAAATCTGGTGTGCTCTTTCTTGCTTACTTTTCTGTAAGTTTTTATCTTTTATTTGTTGTGATTTTTTCTACTTTCCTACTCTCAAACACAAGGTCCGGAGGGGCACAGGTTCGATTAGATTGCTTTGAATCCCCAACACTAACCTCAGTGACAAAAGAGATCTTCTGTTAAGCTAACACACCATATACCCATTAAATTACCATCGCACAAACATACATTGTGCAATACATTGGCATAGGTTAAATGACAACATCCTAAATAAGGCAATTGAAACTGTAGTTGCATGCCATTACTACAGTAAAATGTAATCTAAATCTAATTCAATCAATGATCTTTCCATGGAAAAACAGACTGTGTATATTTGTGAAGGCTTTATTTAAAAATGTATTCAAAGAAGACATAAAAATTATACTCAGAAAAAAGTAAAAGCATCACCGTTCCTAAAAAAACACTAGAGGTTGAAGAAATGTTAAGAAAAAAAAATTCAGCCCGCTACGACGAGAAAACTCTTTTGCCATGAAGTTGAAAATTTGCCCGAAAAGGGTATTTCCAGAACCTCTATTAACTAATCCAACACTTCTCCAGTAACTCAAAAGTTAGCTATTGAAAATAAAACTAAAATTAAGTCTAAGCTCCAAACAACAAGAGGAACAAGCAAAAATAAATAAAATGCGAACAGGTATCTTACGTAACACAGAATGGAGAAATCATCGTAAGGTAAGAGATCGATACGAAGAATTCAATGCCAGAAAAAGGTCAAAGAGTGACATTGAAAATAATTATTTCTCAAAAGGATAAAATCTAGCAAAAATAATCCTCTCCATTTCAAACAAAATGAAGAGAGCACCCTAGCCAACTCCTCTTAGGACTATTTTTTCATTCACTAGAACATCCAATAAACAGTCCACACAAATTCAACCTCTCTGTCAAATAACTTCCACATGAAAGAAAGGAGAAAATTATACATCAGGTTTAGATCAAAACGTTACCAGAAACAGCCCAATGTTTTTCTAATAAAGAAGAGAGAACAATTTCATTCACTAAAAAGATCCAACAGTTTGTCTATCTCTACTGACCACTGGCCAAATTATCCACAGATCAACAAAAAAAAATCGCATTTTTACTGAAAAAAAAATAGAACATCAGATCAGATCGGAGGATGATACCAGAAACAGCCATAGCAAACCCACAGCCGCCGCCACAAACATCCCTCCAAGAATCTCCGGCCGCAGATTCCGGCATCGAGACCTCCGCCGGCGACAGCAGCGGCGATCTCTGAGGCGAGACTCCGGGCAAATACCCCCACATCAGCACGGCCTTCTCCTTCCTCTCGACATCCTTTCCGTTCTCATCCATCTCATCTCCTTCACCATTCATCAAATCGATCGATCTCGACGGGAGCTTCTTTCTCTCTTTCCTTCCTTCTTCGGATTGAGCCGGTCGATTTTGGGTTCTCGAGTGAAGGGTAAAAGGAAGGCTGAGCCCTAGAATGAGCGTATCATTTTCTTGGGGATGGGGTTGCCACGTAGGACGAGCCACGTGGTGGTCCCCGCACACGTGGCGGT